CAAGGCAGCCATCAACAGGCACACAGAGATAAACAACATCTACACACTATTCAAAAGAGACTATAAAAAGGAAACAAAAGACCAGAACATCTTCTCACCAGCAATTGTCACCCAGATAAGCAGAGGTTACCACCAGGCACACAATCAAGCAGTGAACAATACTCTAATCAAGGAACTACCAGAGGGGGAAAAAACCAAACCAAACCCCCACCAACACTGGCAGGACATGCCACTGCATATAAAAAGAGAGCAAACTCCACTCCATTCTAGCACTGAAGATGTTACCTAGCCAGGTAATGAAACATTTGCAAGAAAACAACCAAGCTCAGAGAACTCCAAAGACTCCACAGGACTAACACAAAGCCACCAGGGCTTTTCTTTTGTGTTTTGTTTAGTGGGGAGTGTTTCTAATGAAAGGTCCGTCACATTTTATTCATAAATAAAAATATGAAAGTTCTGAGATGCTGGATTTTACTATTATCATCGAAATTCTTAATAAAAAAAGAATATATATGAGAAAATCTATCTACATGGTTGCTAACAGTCGACGCAAACTTGATGGCACATAATCAATCCATCAATACAGAAGTAAAATCCAACCATCTCCAGCCGCTCCTAAGGGTCAGTCCATGGTCTTCCAAGAAGAGCAAATACCTGTTTCTACAAGAGGCTGGCTTGAGAGCAGCATAAGATTAGAAGAACAACTTCATGTAACGTCAGAGCTCTTGCAAGTCCGCTAAGGAGGGAAATGAGGACGAGTGTTTCTCCCTCCTGCCCGTTCCATTCCATTTCTTAGCAATGTCCCCACAATTTGGAAACCTCCCCCCAGCAAATTAAAAAAAAAAATCCCTAAAATAAGGAAAACAGTGGTGCTTTCTGAGCTTGGTGGTTTGCTTGCAGACGTTTCATTACCCAACTAGGTAACATCATCAGTGCTAGAATGGAATGATATTACCTAGTTGGGTAATCAGTGGCACTGATGATGTACTTAGTTGGGTAACA